ATTATTACGTCTTTTAATTGGCTGTAAATTGGGCCCTGTTCTCATTTTTCACAACTGTAGATACCAAAGTTCTTAAACAGTGGAAATTTTGTGCACATTTATATAATCTGCTGAAAGTGTAAACAATGAATAATGTGACTGGCATTTATTCATATTTTTGTACTGACAGATGAGACATTTCAGTTTCAGCTGAATGAAAAGATTTTTAACAGTAATTTAAAGTTAGCACAGGAATTGCACAAAAAGAAGTGAGCTATTGAAAAATAGTAGTAATAGTGTGAATGAACCCTGATTTAAACACGTGGGCAAAAAATTTGACAACAAACTATGACGTTTCTGCATGACTTTTGGTTTTGTTTTCTTTTCACTTTTAATTGTGTGAACTCTTCCATCCTATAAGAAATGTTTCATGAACAATTGAGATCAATGAAAAATGAAGAGCTTAGTTCTTTTCCCTCTAAAAATATAGGGGGGAAATATTAAAATATGAAACTTTGTCTTAAATAAAATAATTGTACTGGAATATATTTCCAATACGGGTTTTCAGGAAGAGCCAAATGAGAATCTTCAAGCAAAAGCCTAAAGAATACTAATAACAAGAGGAACTCTACCCAAACATTTCAATATTTTGAAAAAGTTGCTTGTAAATAAAGGTCCTTGACATCTACAATACTGCATTTCCAAATCCAGCCTCATGAAGAAAGAGGGAGGAAAAAAACCTATCACAGGCCATTGGTAATAGGTGATGTAAATTTAGAATAACTAGCATTTCTAGAAAGACTTCTGCTTTTTTATGTTAACCTTTAGTCTTTGGTGCGGGTTCCTTCTCATATTACATAAAATGTACTTTAAGAAGCACTCACTACCTGCTACAGATGTCCAGGAAAAACTGAATTATGAAAGTCGGAAACATATGGCAGTTGCCTATTGCACAAGGAAGGTACATATGAAAGTTATAAATTTCTTTCTTTAAGTCAGCATTGTAAACGCATTTTATAGGGTTCACAGTATGTATTACATCTGTAGATTTAATTTTTGAAATATACGTTTTTGGAGATATTTGTGGTTTGGGATTCTAAGAGAAAGAACTCATCTTGATGTGTTAGAAATAAAGGGGGAAAAAACAAAAAAAATTATCAAATGTGGAGAAGCAAACACATTTCTTTTAATTTCCCAGCTGGTTATACTGAAAAGGACATCAGACTGTCTATTGGCAAAGGATGACTCACAACAGGAGTATTGCATGTCAACATAACATTCTGAATTTATTGAGATCCCCCTTCGAAAAAGCAGAAACGTCAACTTGGGGAAATCCAGGTTGGGGCCGATGTAAAAACCACCAGATTATAATTAGATCCTGCAAATGTCAAAAACGTACCAGTTCACTTTACTCTTGAGAGAGAGAAAAAAATCCAAATACTTGCTGATATTTTTCCAATCAAAAGATTAGATGTAAATTTATCTCATTTAACACCTTTGAAACTACGTATTTTGATTGCAATCATAATATTATAGATTCAGTATTATCAATGGATATCAAGTACTATCAACTACCAACGTATCATCCCTTAAACCTTCAAAATTATTTTAAAATAATCCCTCCAAAAAAAAATAATAATCCCTCCAATTTTCTACCTGAAGCCCCCTGTGGTATCTTTAAATTTAATTTTACTTTGTGGATTTTAAAAGTCACAGCTCTCTTGTTCAAGTTTATTTGGAGAGAGGTAAGAAGCAAGTCATGAGAAAGGACTTGGTCAAAAAGGAGTTTAAACAAATATAGACTTGTTTAAGTACCTTAAAAGTGGTAGGGAAGTGCCTACAGGTAAGGTCACTGTGGGTTCAGGTCAAGAAAACCATCCTCAGATTTATGCTGTGAAAGTGGGAGCCTAATCTCCCCCTTTCTTGTGCTAGAATGAAATTTACTTGGGGGTAGAAGTAATGCAGAATAATAGCAGATGCACCCTTCCCCTGCATAAGTTTTATTTGGCTGTGTTTTGAGTTTCCCTTTATGATCAACTGTTGAGTGGTCGCCTGCATGGATTTTCTCTTCTTTTCCAGTTCCTGCCTTACCTGAGGCTAGTCGTGGCTAGGTTCTTAACCACTTGGTCTAAGTGAGGCAGTGAGAAGTTGAACTTTCATTATTGGGGGCTTCCACATAGGCCGGCAAAGGAATTTCTGAGGCGTGGAAAAGACTGTCGGATTCTTTTCTATCTATTCACAGAACTTTGTGAATAAGGAGAGTGCCAGGACAATTTCTGATTTCCTTCTTTTCCAAGCTTTAGGTCACTTCCGAGCTCCCACCCAGTCCTTCCCAAAGCATTCTGCGCCCTCTCGCTAGCATTTATAATTAGAGCTCTTCAAGGAGACCCCCCAAACAGCATTTATTATTCGTTAATATTTAATAACAAAAACAGCAATAATGGTAAAAAGAAAGAAATAAAGTATTTCAGTTTCCGGGGCACCCCGGAATTTCTGGGACGGATCCGGTTGGTAAAACATTGAGGAATTCACAATCCCCATGAGGTTCCACGCCTAAAATCAAAATCCTGTCTGGGTTTCTGAAGCTCATTTTGCTTTGGTCAATATCTGCGTTTTCTTTCATTTTGTTTGCGTTGCCTTCTGGGCTTGGTGCTTTTTTCTTCCCCCACTGCCGAAGACAATCTGATTTACTGTTTGACTGAGAGTTGCATTTCTGTTTAGAAGGTGAAACGTCCAAGTCAGTTAGGCAAATTATTCCCCGACGGCTCCAATATTGCGCCAGAGTCCCAGAGTCAGTTATTTTTATGTCTGACTGTATTTCAAATGTGCAGGGTGATAAATAAGACCCGCCTCGAGCTGCAAACTATCTCAGTGTGATGAAGAACAATTGACAAAAATTAACCCAGCCAAAGCATTGGGGTTTTCGCGAGCCGCTGGAGCATAAATCAGCCTCGCGGGCTGCTTCGGGAAGCTGCGCGCTCGGAGCCGCGCGTCCGCCGCGCGCGGTAGTGGCTTCCAGCAGCCACTGGGCTCGCCTGGCCCTAGCGAGTGGGGCTTGGCCGCGGGGACCCGAGCGAGGACAGGACGCGGTCCCTGGATCAGAGTCCTCCCAGAAGGGACTCACTGGCGGAGAAAGGCTTGGCTTTTCTCCCTAATTCACCGTCTCTAATTCTCCAACCGTGTGTGTGTGTGTGTGTGTGTGTGTGTGTGTGCGCGCGCGCGCGCGCGCAAAATCAAAGAGGACGAAGGGAGGCCAACTTGGCAGGGGGTATGTGTAGGGTCGATGGGCAGGCAGCAACAATCTACACTGTTTCCGGATCCCCAAGGAGTTCCTCTGTTCGAGTCACCTGAAAGGCACGTTCGTCCTAGCTATTAACAATCAAACCCTTCCCGGGAAATCAAGGGTGGCTCCCTGGGAAGCTCTGCGGCGGCGCTGTAGCTGCTCGCTGTCCGGACCCCGCGTGCGCGTTCACTTCCCAGGGCTCACGCCGCGTTCCGGGACGCTGGCTCCCACTGAGCCCGCGCCCTCTTCCTCGGGGCGAAGTGGCGGGCCACGGCGCCCCGAGCCTTGTAGGTCAGGCAAGGCAAGGGGCGCCCTAACCAGTGGCCGCTGGCCCGCGCCACCTGTTGGAGTGGGGAAGCCGGCGACGCGCGGCTACCGGCGGACTCACGCTCAGCGGCAAAAGTGAAGTCCGGGCCGCGGAGCCGCGGGTTTCTGCGGATAAGTGCAAAGAACCACCCTCTCGGTGCTAAGTGCACAGTAAGTGCGAACAATCAGAGGATCATTTCCTGGGGCGTTCGCTGTTCGGAGGCCGCTGGGGAGTTACGGATGAGTGTGGGCGACCGCTGCCCCTCTGCGCCTCCCCTTGCCGGCGAGAAGGGTGAGCAGCCCCGGCCACCGCCCCGCACGGCGTCTGGCCCAGTGACTTCTCCAGCCCCTTAAAGCCGCACCACCCTACCCGGGCAGCCTGGGAGGCGAGGAGACCCCGCGGTTAGCGCGTGTGGCTTGTGTGCCTGCGTGCGTGCGTGCCCGGGAGCGCGCGCGAGCGTGCGCGCCTGGGGGCGCCTCGGGCTATCAATCTGGCGGAGCGCGGTAGAGCCGAGGGGGGATGGAGTGGAGGGGAGCAGGCTGTTCTTGTTTTCCATTTGAGCCCACAACTCTGTTTAAAAACTCGGTTACAGAACAAAGTCCGTGAAAACCTAAGCCCCCCGCCCCCCACTTCCCGCAGGGAGCTCTAGGTCTGGCGCAGCGCGGGCCACGCTTTTCTGCGGGCACTGCCCGGGAGCTGGGCGCCCGCCACGCTCGCTGCTGAGGTCCCGAAGCCGCATATCCAGAGGCGCCTGGGCCTCTTTGCGGCTCCGGGGCCCCGCGGCGCACGCCCCTGCTCGCGCTCCGCCCTGCGGTCCGGGGCCCCACCGGCCGGGGCAGCCGCGCCGCCCACCGCTTCCTCACCCCGGGGCGTAAACCCGAATCCACCCAGACCTCCGGCCTCGGCCCGCGCCCCGGCCGGCGGCCCGCCCCTCCGGAGCGCTCGGGGACGAGCAAGCGGGTGGTGGCCGACCGCGCTGCGCTCCCGGCGCGGGGCCGCGTGTATTTGTATCGTGACCTTGAGCACGTCCCAGCTTTAACCTCCTCCAGATTACAGCTTGGATCCTAATCCCTGCCCTGCTTGCCCGCTGGGTGGTGGGGTCATATATTCCGGTGGGGCGGGAGGGGGGTGGCAGAGAGACTGCCAACTCCCCCTGGGTGCCTGTGCTCAGCCCGCCCAGAATTTTGAGGTAGTTCAGGCCCTGGCCTGCAACCTCCTCCAGGAAGGGGCTCTCGGGGGTCTAGGCTCCGCGGAGCCCGCCGTGCTTCGGGCGGGTGGGCGCAGCCGATCGCCGGGGGGGGGGGTGGGGGGGTGGGGGAGGTGCAGGGCGCCCTGGCAGAGTCGGGCGCACTCGCCCCGCACGTCGCCCGGTGCTTGGCTCCGGGGTGACCCCAGCATCCGGCCGCGGCGGGCCGCAGTCGTGACCCTCGGCAGCCCCGGGCGGGAGGAGGAGCTGGCCGACGCAATTTAGGCTGAAGGGGAAGTCGTGTAGGTTACCCTGATCTGCGGACGCGGGGAAGGCGACCCCGGGTCGCGCCAGAGAACCACCAGCCTCAGAGAAGGCGCGGGTTTCTGACTGTCAGACCTACGCGCGGAGAGTCCTTAAAGGAGGAAGAATCCCAACCCTTCACAAAAATATAAAACCGTCTGGAAGAGGAGACATCTACCGGATGGAAGGAGATAATTGCAAATAAAAGGTAATTAGAAGGAGGAACCTGAAAGGAATGGTCACGCAGGTTTTCTTTGCCCTTGACTGTAGGTACACCCCAGAGTTTTAATGCTATCATGCAGCCAACCCTCTAACCGAAGGCTTACATCTCCCCAAGCCGTGGGCCGGCCGGCAGAGATTTCTCAGGCAGCTTCCCACGACCTGTTGCCATTACCACCGCCTCAGATATGGGTAAAGGAATGCGCTTCCCCCACCCCCATTGCCATTGGCATTGCCATTGCCATTGCCACTTAAAGTCCCAGAGCACACCACCTAATAACTTTCTTGACTTCTCATTACTGAGGCTCTCTTTCGTTTTGTTTTGTTATTGTTGTTTAGAAAGGCATATTTCACAAGTTTTTAAGTAGGTCAGCTGTTTCAAACTGCCCCATCTTGAATCATAGCAGAACAAAAAAAAAAAAAAATGAATGCAACATAACCTGTGTATGGGGGTAGTGATCTAAGATGGTTCTGGGCTCTCAGTTGTATAGTTATTTCTAAGAAGACTTCATTTAAAAAAATGAAAAACATTTGGGGCAGTTACAGTTACATTAGTACATATTGTGGAAATAAGCTTGCAGTTAGAGAAAAATTATTAGAAACAGCTGTGACGTTAATGTTTCAAAACCCAGAGTACTCAGTTCGCTCAGTATCTACTTTTCATCATAATTTTTTCTTGTGCATCCACATAATGCACTACTTTCTGTGTATAATATAAGACACTTGTTTAATAAAGCGAGTGATTGTCTGTGTCAGGGAGATTTGGTCCTCTCTCCCTCTCCCAGTCCATGTGCAGAGCAGATCAAAGACCTGAATTACCTCTGTCTTTCCAAAGACAGCCAGATGGTGTCTTGATTTTTTTCTTTTTTTTTTTTTCAGATTGGCTAGCAATAGAATTCAAAGGACTAAAGAGTCTGTGTGATGCTACAGATGAAAGCTCTACCCAGGTAAGTTATATTTTAATTAATATCATGCATACCTTATCTTATTCCACTAAAGTTTTGAGGGGTCTCATGGGAATCCATATACGAAAAAAATATGAAAATGATGAATAAGTTATAGAAAAAGACAACATAGAAATCAAAATCTTGGGTCAAGATGAGAAGAAAATAAGAACCCTAATAAGTATGTGGAGTACTAGACAGTTATTAAAGAGGAGCTTTAAATTTGTCTCTGAGCCTCCTAGCAGCAAAAGTGAAATGTGATTCTCATTGAGCACAAGGAGAAATCCTATCAGATTCTTTCAATAAGCAAGCTATTCCCTAAACTGATGGCAGTGGTGGTGGTGGTGGTGGTGATGACAACAGTGATACTGGAAGCACCATGGCATGTTTTACAGGCTGCTCCATATGCGAGACCAACTGTTCCCCTCCTCCACAAGCCCCCACACACTTAGATACTCTTTTTTTTTTTTTGATATTTTTACTTCATTATAGTTAAAATAAAGTTGTTTGTCTATATAGAGGCAGTTGGGTGTTTGGAGAGAACTTTGGAATCAGAAAGACCTGAATTCAGGGCTGGCTTCTGCACCTAGGGCTCTGCTGTAACCTTTGGCAAGGCACTTAATCTCTCTCTCTCTGAGATCCAGTTTTCTTTATAAAATGGGCACAATCTACCCCAAAGGCTTATAGAGCAGCCATTCCAGAGCCTGGCACTAAGAGACCTTTTTCTAAGTGTTAGGTTATTACAGCCATGTTTTATTGTCATTAACATAACACAAGTGTTAGTTTCCTTTCTCCTTTTCTACAGCAATAAAGTATTCAAGGGTACACTACTTTTGGGCTTCAGAGCAAATAAGAATACCAAAATTTGGACTTGAAGATGTTAGTACAGTTAAATGAACAAGGTCTCTGAGTTCCCTTACCCTCCTTACTTGCCCACAATGATTAAGTTTCTGGAAAGAGAAGAAGGTGTTGATAAGATAGACCTTGCCCTAAACCAGCAAGGGTAGGAGTGGGTCAGTCCCGGAGGCTGCAGGTCCACCGGTAGATTCTGCTCCAAATCACCAGGGGATGGCAGCTATCAGAATCACTTGGGATAAGTCACTGCATGAATGAGTTCCAAGAGGAGGTAGATAGATCTTTGAGTATTATGTTGGAGGGGGATGGGAGCATGAAAGTTTTACAGATCACTACAGAGAGTCAGTATTCTATTAAATATTGGGGGTTTGGGCCAGGAACAAAATACAAAGTGACATTCCCCTTTCCCCCATCCTCCCTCACTCTGTCTCTTACTGTGTAGATCTTTAAAACTGAGTACTTGTTGAGAACCCAGCAGTGGTTCTAAGTCTTATGGAGACCGGTTGTTTGTCCTGGATCTACCACCAGGCAAATGGCCTCTGAGATCTTCTATTTTTGTCCCTCTTCCTTCTTTCACCTGCTCAAACCCACTAAACTGTAGGGCACCTGGGTGGCTCAGTGGTTGAGCATCTGCCTTTGGCTCAGGTCTTGATCCTGGGGTCCTGGGATCGAGTCCCACATCTGGCTCCCCACAGGAAGCCTGCCTCTCCCTCTGCCTATGTCTCTGCTTCTCTCTGTCTCTCATGAATAAATAAATAAAATCTTAAAAAAAACCCCACTAAACTGTAACCCTTCTCCTCCTGCTAAATCTTGCAGATTGATAATGGGTTAAGTATATCCATATTTTGGTTAAGTATATCAATATTTGGTTAATACATCAATATATTTTCTGAGGTTAGTTGTATCTTAGAAAAGCATGGAAATGTACATGTACATATTTGACCTGCTGTACTAGATTGTAAGCTTCCCAAGCTCATGAACTTCATGATGTTTATGTTGATTGGCTGAATCTAGGACAGCAGGTAATTTATTTCAGGAAGCCCCATGACTAATAAGCAGCATGGCATAGCAGAGTGGGCAAAGACTTGGATTCGGAAGAAACCAGCTCAAGGTTTTGTTGGCTCTCATTGGCTCCATGAGCTTGTGTAATCATCTAACATCCTAAGCTTCCACCTGAAGTATTGATGAAGTGACCGCAGTGATGCCACATAGCACCAATACTTTATGATCCTGAATTCATCTGAGAGTAATCTCATCTTCCTCTGAATTAGCCCTCATGGCATTTTATTTCTCCATCTTTTAGGCACATAACACATCCCTCTATACATTAAACTTATTGGAAACTATTTCTTATGCCCTCTATCATTCCATAAGCTGGCCCCATGAGTGCAGGAACAGTTTCTACATCAGTATTTCCCAAAGAGCTATTCCAGTGTTTTGTAGCACTATACTCAATAAATACTTGTGAGTGAATAAAACCTTATCCTTTATTCATAAACATCCACTTATTTGGTGTAAAAGAGGGAAGGCTAAACTTTGGGAGCGCTGGTGCACATAGGTCTCCTTCTCTGCCAAGTTCCGCTGTCTTATCTCCAAGTCAGCCAGGGGGCACAGTCAGGCTAGAGTTGCTTGTTTGTGGAGTACATGCCAAATGATCTAGAACATATATCCAACCCCCTTCCTTAGCAGATGCACAGAATGTGGCAGAAGGAAAACAGGCTATGATGACAGAAGAGAGAGGCATATGAGGAAGAATTTCTCCTCCTGTTAAGTGTAGACAGTGGGTACGAAGCAATGTGGTACCCAACCAGAAGTGGGGTCCACCCGTCCCATGAAGAGGGATTCAGTGAAGCCTGCCTATTCCTGTGGCATGATTTTCTTGGCCATGTTGACAACTCCCTGAAGCTCTCCCAGGGAAAGGGAGATGGAAAGGAGGAGTGAGAAGACAGCCACATTCTGTTAAAACATGTGCATCTGGATTCTTCTCCTGGCTTTAAAGGATTCCAGAATATGGTTATAGGCAGAACTGGTAAACAGTATTCTAGAACAGTCCTGGTGGGAGAAGGATACAGTAAGTTCTCACAATTTCTGTGCTGCTTCCATCATTTGGATCATTGGGACTGCAACCCTGCCCCATCCTCAGCCCTCAATGCTTACCTTAGACTGAAGCTCCTCCAAGTAGTCCTTCATGCTGTGACCCTCCCAGGGACTCAACATTCCTGCTCTTCCACCTTGGGAGACTGGTGCTTCTGGAGCTTCTTGGGCTATTGCTCACTGCCCCCCAAGTTACTGATATGCTCTCCATGGTCATCCCAACTTCTCATTACCAGGCCTAAGTACATACTTGGATCTTGCATGTTGGAGGCCCTGCTGAAGTGTCGCTTTTTACCTGTATTGAATTGAGCTGTAGTAGTCCAGATTACTTACCTTTTCCTGTTGCTCTGGATTCTCCTTTTTCCTTTCCCAACCCCAACCCCACAGAGCAGTGAAAATCCCTTTTTCGTGAGTTAGTGCATTCTGGCTCTTCCTTCTAAGGGTTCTCTCCTTGATTGGCAGGCCCAAGGGTGTGAAATGGTACATCCTGTACAACTTTCCTCTTTTGCCCCTTTGTACCTGCAAGAAGTCCCCATGTACCCACATATAAAGTCTGGAATCTGTTCTCCTTGGGGCCGGTTAGGTTTCCTTGAGCTCAGTTGGATGCATATTCATCTCTGTCCATTTATGGTGCTTTTATTATGTAAGCCTCAGACTTCTTTTAGGAAATTTCAACATTCTAGAGGTTATTTATTAGTCATGGAAATTAATATTAACCGCAGTCTCAGACAATCTCTGAATAACAGTGGAATAACCCAATACTAGTCTACTTACTTAAGATCCTGATGTGGGTGAGGTGGCATCTTTCCTCCAATTGGTGACTCAGGACCTAGGCTGACCCCTTCTTGTAGCTGTGCCATGAAGAACCTGACTTCCAAGTTTGATGAGGAAAGGAAAGAGGATGTGTGGGGAAATCATACCCACTCTTAATTACCTCAGCCTGGAAATGACACTTGTGACTTCTGATCACATTCTGTTGGCCAGAAATCAGTCCCAAAGCACCATGTGCCTGCAGAGGAATCTGGGAAATGTAGTATTTCCTTTTTTTCCTAGGAAAATGAAAGTAAAACAATTTGATGTCTAAGTGTCTTTTTCTTGGTCACAAGTTTCGAAAGGAAACTCGTCTGTTTCCTGGACAAGAGAACTTCCAGACTAGTGTGCCGCATACTCAAAGGACAAGGAAAATAGAAAACACAGCTTAATCAGGTACAAAAACTAAGATGAATACTATAGGCCGAGATTTGAGCTTTGCTCTATGGAGCTAGTTCAAGGACAAAGTTCTCTTTGAGGTCAGGGAGAATTACATTCCATGAAATTGAAACCAGGTATCTGGAGGAAGATGGGGATATAAGGGCCAAAGGATATCCTCTTATTGTGAAAACAGCCATATCAGTGTGAAAAGCCCTAAATCCATCTATTACAGATTTCCATAGTCGTTTTATTACCAGAGTTGTTTCCAGTGACTTGAAACTTGGGAAGGTTTAAAAAAAAAAAAAGCAAAGAAACATTTAGCCAACAACCTATAGTGAGATTCCAAAGTCTAGGAATTAATCACGTCTTTTCTGGCCTTTTACTTTTAGTCCTAATACATACTATCAGCACTCTCCCTTCCTTCTCTGTCTTGGTTAACATTTTATTTGTATCCTTAATGATTTAACAGATGTCAAACTTTGTTATGCATTTGACAAGGGCTGACATTGCTCAAGCGTCTTTGCCCAGGTCTGGTCCATTTATGAGGGGATAACAGACCACTGATGTCATTTTCATGTGCTTTGATGGAAGTTTTAGTGTCCCAACTCCCCTGTGGAGGGAGTTTTACACTTCTAAAGTGGCTGCAGCCTTCTTGTTAAGTTCTTTTCCCAACACACTTTTACATTTTACCTTCTCAGTGAACAGTTTTTCTAATACCGTTTTAGGATATTTGGTTCAACACCAGTCAGCTCAAATTTTCCAGATGAGATGTATAGTTAAGAGAAGAAAACTTGAAATCTTCAGTTTCTAAGGGAGATGATGGACATGATACATTGATCTGTATTTCCAGTCTTCAAAGAGAT